ACAAATGATCACTCATGACTTGTAGTTTTCTGTGAAATACCTTGTTTCCCTTCATTTAACTGTATGTTCAGTAGAGAAATGCCAATTATGTGAATTATGAATGCTTTGGTTTCATTATGTAACCGTAAATATTACTATTGTTTATCTATATCTTTAGCTTATTCATTTCTTTATTGTACTTATTTTGCAGACTATCTACACCTTTGATTGTACCTCTGTGGCCCTTCCTTTTCTCTACTAATACACCATCGAAAGCTAATCACCTGTCTCTTCATTATTGGTGCTCTGACCGGCACCCAGGGGGGGTTGACTCATCCATTACCTGATCAGAACCTAACAGTCCCAAAGTCTCTGCAACACTTATGGCTGCACTGTAAAAACAATTCAGTAAAACTTACGGTAAAATACCGGCAGCTGTGGTTGCAGGAATTTTACTGTAAAAAATACGGTAGCAACGTTTTAGGTTTTACCGTTTTAACTTAAATTTACAGTTAAATACCGTAATTTCATTAACTGATATAATGTTAATATACCAACCTACTGAAAATACATTGACTAAATTTACGGTAAAAAACGGCAGCTGTGGTTGCCAGAATTTTACCGTAAATAAATACAGTGGATAAACACCATGGTAACACACGTGAAACTGAAATAATGCAATAAACATTCATTTACTAACATTAGATGTAACATACAACCCTAATGTACAAAACTGATAAGAAAAACTAAGAAACATAGTTATTTCAACAAAAAAACATCAAATTTGAAATGTAACGCAGGGAATTCTGTGAATGTCAATTTACGGTTATTCACTTTAAATGATACGGTCTTTTTCCACTTACAAAACGGTATACTACCGTAAAATTAATGTCCAATACATGTAATGTAAAACTTCAGTTGTAGCTGTTGAAACCAGTATGTTGAAGAATGCTAAAATAATTTTCAAAGGCAGACCTTGAAGAAGACTGGCCTGCTTGATAAAAACATTAGTAAAAATCCCACAGACTCTCAGTCCAAACTCTCAAAATGCTAAATAATAAAAACACTTGTGAGTAACGCGAGCCCCTCTTGTTACTCTGGACGAACACACAACACACTGACAGACAGAAAGAGCAGAAAGGCTTCCCTCAGCTACAGGGCTAAAGCTCCATGACCAGAGCAAGGTTTGGTTGCTCAGTTTCACTTGTTGTAACACTGGCAGAGAACAGGGGGAAAAGTCTTTTGTTTCTGCCCTTACATTACACCCTGCTGATAACACGTTTGTGTCTCTGTCACCGGACTGACATACAGTAAAACACATCCCACGGTGAACGGGGTGCGGCGAGGATTCATTACAGCTTATGATAGTCAGCAGTAATACAGACGTGATGATGGTGCCTGTCATTAACATTCGTAAGCTTTGGTGTTAAATATTGCTCTTCGCTGATTGGGTCATTTCTGTCATGCAGTACTGTCACTCTGTTGTGCGTCTGTAAAAGTCATTTCAGACACTTAAATGTCATTCATTCAAATGAATTATTTAGACAAATGGCAGGAAACCTGCCTAACAGGTCACTCAGAAAGGGATCGACACTTCAAAGTAATTGTTTGTGATTTTGATCATATCATATCATGACTTCTGTCATGTTCTGTAGTTAAAACCACAAATTACAAAACATCACAGACTTCAGTAAATTAACTGCTAATATTTAAAGATGCTTGTGCTGCTGGTTTGCTACAAAAACGATGCCGCTTCCTAAACGATGACGTCAGTAAGGAACTAGCGTTTTGTTAGTTCAGCAGATAATGGAAAAAACTAACAGGATGGAAAATGAAAATGTTTAGTTTAAAACATTTAAAAAATTCAAAAGGACTATTTCTTAATAAAATTGATAAGGCTTTCCATGCTAGAAGTGCAGCACTCAAGTACAAGGTAAAAACAATAACTTCTGCTTAAAGGCTTAAAGGCCCGTTCACACCAAGGACGATAACTATAACAATAACGATAAAGATATAGTTCTAAAAATCGTTCTCAATATTAAAGAATAGCAGAGTCCACATCACAGCTATAGCGATAAAGGCACAGAGAAACGATATCATTGGAATCCTTTTCAGAACGATTTTTCCAGCTGATGAACGATACAAACATTGACAGCCAATCAGAATCAATCCTGCTGTAACAAGCTTGAGAATTTAAAGCGGCAGACGAGCGTGCGCTTAGAATAAACAGACGATATCGTTCGCTGGTGTGGACGCTAATATCGTTATCTTTATAGTTATCGTCCTTGGTGTGAACAGGCCTTTACACAGTAAAAGTGGTGAAATGAACGTTTACCGTTAACTATTTAACAGGTTTTTACCGTTAAATTCAAGGTCATTTTTTACAGTGTGGTCCAGGGTCACATATGAATGTCCAAAAACAATCGGTCCCAAACAATATTATCCAATATTATCTGATTTACTTTCTAACCTTATTTACATAAAAACAGCATTAGTCAAATAAAAGCAACTGTCTGACTGATATTGCAGAAGATTGTTTATTATTATTTTATTCTATGCCAGACACAGCACTGCAAGATAAAATGAATAAAAAGTAAAAAAAACAACAGCAATAATTACAATAACAAAGGGACTAATAGAATTCAAACAAATCCCATCTTATATATA